TTATTGTATCTCCCATTTCTTATGATCAAAAGTCTAGTCTTTTTTTGTCAAGGTTGACTTAGTTTATGGAGTCAACGCACGAAAATCCCGCAGAATGTGGTGATCAAATTAAATAGTATTCATAAAAGAATATATCCAAAAGCTGCAATTTCCTTTTCTGCTTTATGCGTACCTCCAAAGTTACAAGCTGTTAGAGTCAATTCTCTCTTTAACGATATTATTTATTCAAATATGTTTTTATTGTTATAATGAAATATTATCGTATAAAATATATATATATATAATATAATATGAAAACTAATTTTTTTTAAATGTTGATTTATTATATTGAAATGTTGTTGTAGAAGACAGTAACTGTTATAGAGAGATTTAATTATAATTTTTTAAAATTTGTGTGTCTTATTTTAAATTTTAATTTATTTTTCAAAGAATATCGCTTTTTATGTTTTATATACTCCCTATATTAATTTTTACTTCCACATAATCGATTTTGCATTTCCCTTAAACAATGCTTTCTCATTCCAAAATAAAAGTCACTTTAACTATAATCATATTCATTAAGGAATGAATAAATACAGTATGCAGTTTATTAAACTATTCCTATTTAACAAATGTCTCATGAAAATTGAACACTATTAGAAAATGAAGTTTAAAGATAAAGTTGGAAAAATATACTAATCTTTATCTTGAATTCATAAGGTTACACTTATTTGAGATAAAATATTTTTGTTAAGGTAACATTCATTTAGGACAGAAATGAAGTGCATAGTTTATCTACTAATGACTATTATCATTTCAAAAAGTCTTGAAAAATGATTTGAAAAAATGAGTAGTTAATTAGTAAAAGTAATTCTAACATAACAAATAAATAAAAATAAATGCAGAATCAACTCTTTGTTTCAAACGTCTCACTGTAAGATTTAAATATTTTTTTATTTAAAAAACTTACGACACATAAAATAAAGGTGAAAGGATAATATGAGAGGATTTTTCCAAGTTGCAATTCTAACTTAAGTCACATATGTAGATGTCATTCTTGTAATTTGATTTTTTCTGGTCCCAGTTGTGACTTGTGATTAGTCCATCACTTTCTAAGAAATTGCCTGGAAGCAAACCTCCCTTTCACAAATGAATCAATTATCATTCAAAAATTGAACTTGTAATATTCTGTACTTTTGATTTGTATTCAGTGAAAGTTTTTTATGAGACAAAAATGTCCCTTCGTATTTTTCCTTTTACATGTATATTAAGAAATCATAAATAAGAAGAAATTAATTGTAAGGGTAATATAGAAGAAATTTAATTATTGCTTTCTTAATTTAGTAAGGTAGACAACTAATACTATTGAACAACTATTTTTAATAAAATGATCAACTAATATGAGACGAAATAAGCAGTTAGCTAAGCAATTTTAAGGGTGCACAAGGTTAGCGAAATAATAATTGCATGTTATTAATGAAGAGAAATGTGCCTAAAGCGATATATAAGCCTAGTATAAACGTCAAAAAAAGATCGAAAAAATATTAACAAATCACAATTGCTATCACAAAAAAACCACCCAATGGTGGGATGAACTATTTGAATTGTGCATTGGTCGCGTTCAAACACTTGAGGCATAACCTCACTAGATCAGAACCATCAACCTTTTATTTTCGAATACCTTAATTTTGTGCAAATCATAATTTTGCATTTTATAACTTTTTTTTATCGTGTTATACGATACCTCCCCTATATTACAAAAGTAAACGGATAGACTTTTAGCTAAAATGCAGCACATGGGTTTGTGTGATCACTATTTTTTCTTGGGATAAAAGGAAAATTAAAAATTGACATTTTAGGCGTGTTCGTGGATATTTTTTCATGTTCAAATGGGTAAAGTTTTCCAAAAATATTTTTCTTACAAAATAAGTTTTTTTTTAAAAAAAAGAAAAGAAAATGACTTTGTAAAATAAGGAAAAACAAGTTTAACAAGTAATATTTTCTATTGATTATATCTTCACCGTCTTTCAACAAATCTCATGTTTATCCCACCACTCCTATCCTTCACACCAGCTCTCGTAGTATTAATCTAAATAATAAAACCTTTTAGAATAATATCTGTTATTTATTAATATAAAAAAGATAAATAAAAAATACACTTATTTTTATCTATACGCGCATACTCCTTAGATTCTTTCTTTATCCTTTTGAATGAGGAAAACAAAAGAAAATTACAAAATGTCTCTTTTTTTAAAGAAAAAGAAAAACTTGATATGAAAACGTATATCATGAAGGAGACAGGCAATACCATATTTATTGAACAAAAACAAAAGTGGATTATCACGATCTACTTCAACCATTTTAAAATATCTATCGTAATTTATTAGATTAGTTATTACAAATTATTTATTATTTACATTTTTATGATATAATTAGTTATTATTTTACCTAAATTTAAAAAGATAAAAACTCTCTTAATAACTATTTTTTAAAAAGCGTATAAAAAAAATAACGATAGATAATTTAAATAAAGAAAATTGATTTATTCTTTCATTTATTAAAGTTTTTAGGAAAAACATTTAGCACACGGCAGTGTTTTGGCATGGTCAATTTTGTCTTGGTCGTTGGACTAAACTCATCCTCCATATTTTCTTTTACACTTTAGATTAGATATATTTATATAAAAATAAGTAAACTAGGAAAATGTCAAAGTAGATGGCATTTGGCATAAAAATACTGGGTCATCTTCCCCGTAACACACTTAAATAACCCGGTCTTTACTCCTAATTTATTTTGAATTTAAGTTATACTGGTGCGTGTATATGCTAATTTAAAATTTGAAGTTTATATATTTTTATGATAATTTTACAAAACGTAGGTATTCCCAGTAATTATCATAAGATTTTAATATAACATGAATCTAATTAATTATAATTGCTTAAAAGGGTGATTAATTGTGTGAAAATTCTATGCTACATAAAACTTAAACTCTTAATTTTTTTATACCTTCATGTTAATTACGTGAAATAATTTACTTGTTCTGATATTTTTATTACAAGTTACATCAGCAAATTCATACAAATAGATTTGATTAATTAAAATAATTATTGCTGGAAATATTCTCTAGTTGATTGTTTAAAAGTAGTATAGTATGTCTTTGAACTATTCGCCTCAATAATATCTTGTACGAAACAAAAACATCGTTGGTTCTCATAAAGGCTAATTATTTTAGCCCCCCACCCTCCATCCCCACCACCCCAACCAAAAGGATTTTTTTTTTTAAAAAAATAAATTAATTTTTCATCAAGGTGATTATTTTTAGATACACTTCGTTTCATATTACTTGGTCCTAGTTGATCTGACATACCTCTTTATAAAATTTCAATTAGAGGTCCTTTTTACTAATTAACTTTAACTTTATCAGTGATGCTTTGAAACTCTAAATTTGACGATTACTATTTTATCTGGTTATTTTACAGTGAGGGTAATATGGAAAAATAATAATATAAAACTATCTCGATTTGTTAAAATAGATAAGTAAAATAAAAATATTTATTTTTTATCATAAGGTGAAACAAAATACTAATTGACAATATGAAAATAACCTAGTGAATTGTGTGAATTCTAATGCATATGCCAGATTGAACATTGTGTTCTTAGCCATTTGAGCGAATACAAACATAATTTTGCTTGACTTGAGCTGGAAATATTGTACCTTGTTTTCTTTGTTTGTGTAACAATGCATATCCATTTTTGGAGCATATGATTTTTTTTTAAAGACAATTCTTGTTAATAACATAAACATATTATATACATTAGGAATATCATCGTTACAAACTATAAATTACATTATGCATTATATAGTTCAAATTATGATTTCATAATTATGTTAATGTTCTATCACTAAATGTTGGTACTTTCCATTAAGGCTAAATTTGGTGATTTGAGTAAAATAAATAGAATGCATGTCGATTTAATAGGGTTTCATTGCTTAGAAAATGAAAGGAGAAGAGACCCTCCCCATATCAATAAAAAAATAATGATTAATTAAGTAATCCCCAGGAATGAGTAATTAAAAAGTCCTTAATCAACAAATGAAATTATGACTTGTTAATAAGAGTACTAGTGTTAATAAAACCACCTATTATCCTAGTAATCAATGTCCACTTGTTTCCATGTCACTTATTACAAGAAAAATAACACCTCAATCAATATAGGTTCAACTTATGCTAGACTTGGTCCAAGTCTCCAACCATTATAGTTGACATATTATTACTCCTTTTTTTTTTAAAAAAAAAGAAGTAATTTAGAGCATTGATAGAATTGCAAGTAGGAGAAAATAGAATGATACAAGAAAATAAGTGGGTATCATTTCCTTCGTGATGTTCAATATCTGCTTTGAAACTTTATCAATTTAATTTTGTATGACAATTATTAGAAGAATTTTACCTTCATAATTCAAATTTAAAACTTTTAATTAAAAATAATAAATATATATCACTTCACCATAACATTTTGTGGTAAAAATCATACCTATATGCTACAAATGCAAAACTTTTGTGCGTTTATCTTTTGCCACATGCATTCCCATCTTACATTAAAAAAAAAAAAAGTAAAGGAGAATAAAAAATTTGTAAATAACTTTTTTTTCATTAGATTCACATTTCCTTTTTTATTTCCTAAAAAACAAATTTAAAGAAGTGGATAAAATGGTACTTGTTGTATAAATATCAGGAATATGCCATGGAGATCTCCCCACGTAAAATATTTATCTATTAATTCAAGTTTTTTTTTAAAAAAAAAAAATGACAGAAGCAATCCTATCTGGAGTAGAATTATTTAAATTAGGAATATTTTTAATTCTTTTTCCAGTTAGATTAGGAATCTTTATAAAAAAAAACCATAATTTTTTTTCCACCTGCATTATAGAATTTCCATAGGTGAAGGAGAAGATACAGGGGGTGGGGGTGGGGTGGGGTGCATTGTGTTTGTCTCTATATATAGTTTATCTGTAGAGAGAGTGTTGAATTAAAAGAAACAAAGAAGAAGAACACAACAAACGGCTATAATTTAGCGTGTTTTTATATAGTCAAATTCAATCCACAAAGAAAAAAATTGGAAAATAACTTCCCTTCTCATTGCTGTAAATTTGAGTGGGAGGGGGTTTCTTTTTTCTTCAAACAATCTCTCTTTTCATAATTTGTTTATCTTCTGAATTTTACAGCAGGTAACAAAAATTCTTGAAAAGGAGAGGAAAATAATTAAAAATTGGAAGAAGCCAAAGTTTCATTGGCCATTTTTAGAGGAGGGTTTTGAATAAAATATCTTGGTAGTGCTCATGGTGTCTGATATTTATTACCCTTCAAAGAAAAGCGACGATTTTTGTGAAGACGTTTGTGGCGAGGTACCTTTTCCCCCTTTTAATTGTCATTCACCATTTTATGTGCTTAATAGTTTGGAATTTTAGTAAATATTGGTTTTTGTTGTTGGGTTTCTGGGGAATTATGAAATATGTGTTTTTTCATTCTGGTATTGCTTATAAACCCTAAAATCTTGAATTGGGATGATGTGGGGTTGCTCTGTTCCCGATGAGGAATTTTATTTTCAAAACAATATGCAATTTGGTTGGTTTTTCATATCTATATTGTTATGAGCTTCTGGAAATTTGTGGGTGTGTTGGGATTTTGGGAAAATCCATGACTTTTAGCTATTCATTTGGATATTATCTAAACTGATGGAAGATTCAGTTTTCTTATGGTTCTCACAAGTGGATAAAAAGCTTTGAAACAAAAAATTAATATGTTGTTCTCCTCTTGGAAGATATTTGGGAAATTCTTAGGGGTTCAATAAACTAATGTGTGAATATTTGATTGTTTTCAAAGGTTTGCTGCTATTTGCATTGTTCTGAAGTTGTTATCTTTTTTATATGCAGCAGTCTACCCCTGGAATAGTAAGCATGTCAAGACTACGGTGTATGCTTCGAGGATTGGATTTAAAGGCTATTGTTTTTTTGGTTGTTTTTGTGCCATTATGTATAGTTGGTATATACTTTCATGGACAGAAGATTACCTACTTCCTCCGCCCAATATGGCAATCTCCTCCGAAGCCCTTTATTGAACTTACCCATTATTATCATGAGAATGTCTCAATGGAGAATCTTTGCAAGCAACATGGATGGGGAATTCGTGAATATCCTAGGCGTGTCTATGATGCTGTTTTGTTTAGTAATGAAGTGGACATGCTTACTATCAGATGGAAGGAATTGTATCCTTACATCACACAGTTTGTTCTTCTCGAGTCAAACTCCACGTTTACTGGATTACCAAAGCCATTTACTTTTGCTATTAACCGGGACCAGTTTAAGTTTGTTGAGCCTCGATTGACTTATGGAACCATTGGAGGAAGATTCAGGAAAGGTGAAAATCCGTTTGTTGAAGAGGCATATCAGAGAGTAGCACTCGACCAGCTATTGAGAATAGCTGGAATAGAGGATGATGATTTGCTGATAATGTCCGATGTTGATGAAATTCCTAGCAGGCACACCATCAATCTTTTAAGATGGTGTGATGACATTCCTCCAATTCTTCACCTTCATTTTAGGAATTACTTGTACTCTTTTGAATTTGAGCTTAAGCACAGAAGTTGGAGAGCTTCAGTCCACAGGTATCAGAGTGGCAAGACTCGATACGTACACTATCGTCAGACTGATTACCTTTTGGCAGATTCAGGTTGGCATTGTAGCTTTTGTTTCCGCCACATCTCTGACTTCATATTCAAAATGAAAGCTTACAGCCACACTGATAGAGTGAGGTTCTTGCATTATTTGAACCCAGGAAGAATACAAGATATCATTTGTGAAGGATCTGATTTATATGACATGCTTCCTGAGGAGTACACATTCAAGGATATTATTGGTAACATGGGACCTCTACCTCATTCTTACTCAGCCGTGCATCTTCCTGCGCATTTGCTGGATAATCCCGAGAAGTATAAGTATCTCTTGCCTGGGAACTGCAAAAGAGAAAGTGGCTAAGTTGTTACCACAAAGTTGGATGCATTTTCGTAACATAGGAGGTGTTCATGTGCCGATTTTATGTTGCACCATGAGGGACTCTTATCAGGTAATTGATGATGGTCATGTGGCAGTGCTCTATACAGTTAAACCTTATATGCAACAAAGTGTAGGTAAACAAGTATTCAGGGAAGCGGCCGGGTGTATATTGTCTTTTTTGGTTCATTTGAGGTGTCAGTACATTCATTTGTCAAGTAAAAAATTAATTTAGCGGTGATGTAAACTCTTGGGTAAACTTGATTGTTTCCTGTCTGTATTACATAACCCTGAGATAGAACTCTTTGAATGACAATGCTCGGGCTTTTTGATTGTAGAATTGGTTTTCGTATTCTTTTGCTCCTGTTCGAGACATTTGTTCCAATTTATAAATCTTGTTTCCCAATTGTGTTGCATAGAAGGCATGTGGAAAAGAAATGAGCTCAGTTAGTACCCAAGTCATTGTGTTTTTTTGAGATTTTATTTCGTTTAATATTTTCATATTGGGAAAAGGCATAAGTACCCTGCCCAACCTATGACTGATTGTGAAACCAATGCATGTTTAGTTAGCCATGTTAATTGAGCAAGTGATTCCAGTCACTCAAGAGTAAAAGATATGCTCGAAAAATGAACATGTTTTCGGGCAGTGCACTTGGGACAGTTTGAGTTTCTTGTTGGTAATTTGGTATTTGATTCCTATGAAACAGTTGATAGTTTCATAGGTTGTATATCTTGTTGCAGACAAATGCCCCATTTCCATCTGTGAAACAATTGTTTCCATGTTCAAAACCTAAGATTATAAATCCTTTTTGAAGCTAGTGATTTTCTTTGCAAGGTGGAAGCTCTTTGTACTAGTGCTAATATACTTTTTTTTCCCTCTAGTTTTTGCAGGAATCGAATCTCATCCTTGAATCAAGAAGTCATTTTCTGTCTTTGCCTTTTTAGGATGAAACTTTGATATTGTTGTTCACTACTTAATCAAGATGTTTCTTTCACCACAAAGGTGACTCATGGCAGTAATTTTTTTGATCTATGTGAAGTTCCCTACCAAACTTGAATAAACAAGTAAAAAATCAGACCTCTTGTTTTAGATTGTTTATGAAGCCTGAATATCTACAAGAACCCAACATTGTTCATCTGACAAGCATGGTGAGAAGACTTAAATATGTATTATGCATGCTTAAACATATAAATGCAAAGCAATACATAATAAAAGAAGTCAGTAACAGACCCTTGTAGTTCAATCTTTCCCAGACCCAGCTCATAGCGCACATCCATCTGTTGTTAAAACAGGAAAACTTGGGAGCATAAACTCCAATAATGCAAGAATTTCTTCACATATACAAAACTAGTAAAGACACAAGTATTTACCTTTAAAAACTATATGCAAAGCGAAAAGGATATAATTATATGCAAAACAAGATGTCTTTCATATCACAACGCATGAAATCAGACAATGAAAGATGCATTAGAAAGCAATAGAATCCAGTCCACACTTTTAGTACAATATAAACTAGTACAAACGAGAAACTTTCCGAAAAATTTGGGGGTCAGAACATGCTGAACAAAACAGAAAGGATATGAGAGTCTTAACAAGAGAGATCAGAACATTAAATCAAAATTTGAGCCAATTTTAATAAACTAAGGTTTAACAGTTCCGACTCCCAAATATTGATCTCCTTGGTAGATTGTAGTAGGTTCTTGCAACAACTCCTTCAACTAGTATATCATCCAGCATAGTAGATATAGCAACCAATATTTCTGTTTTTTCTTTTCTTCTGTGGCCTGTAGTACTGGTGGGAAAATGAGCATTTTTTTATAAGGATATGCTGAAACCACGAAAACTGAAATTGAAGAAAGATTCATGTTGCTGTTCAAGAGCACAATCTTGTTGAAGTATATTCTCCTTCCCAGAATGCATAAAGCATTATCTCATTGCCTTCATCTCTATAGCCGGTCCAACCAACTAAAGATATTCTCTTGCGAACCAAACGGCAAATCCTGGTAGAACACAACATCAGATTCAGCTACAGATGTTATTATACATATAAAACAAAAAAACACATTACCATTTACAAGGATGGGAAACTTACTGCAAGTTGGAAGTCTGGAGGAGAATCCGGTTCCAAGTTATCCAACTCTGAAATTCCACAGGTTGTGTTACCATTCTCTTGTGGTAAATGGCAAGTGCTATGAGTGTAGTCAGCAGAAGGGCCAAGATTGGGTCCAAAACTATCAAGAAATGAATAATCATTATGTTCATCACACAACAGAGAATTATCAACATCATTTGCATCAGCTGCTTGTGATTCTCCAGCCAAGCATGTGGTGTACTCCATTTCACACTTAATCTTAGCATCAGAAGGCTGCCCTGGTTCTTTGGCAACTTCCACTTCCTAAACAACAAAAAGAAAATCAGTGTACGGAAAAATTCTGGCAAAATGCAGCTGCATCATCCAATTGTTTCTACCTGATCAGGTGAGAAGGGTAAAGAGTCATCCACAATATCATCATAGGAAGGGGTTTCTCCATCTCGAGGAGGATTAGGTGTAACCGTCTTTGGAGTTGTAGGCCCAGTTTGATTGGCTCCCACACTGGCTTCCTCATTGTCAGAAGAATCATTGGCCTTGACAGATTGCTTCTGCTGCTGGTAAAGGATTTTTGAAACCACATATTCACCTTCTTTTTCATCTTCATCAGGGCCCAGGTGGTACTGATGCATTACCCAATTAGTCTTTTCCTGCTTCGACCCCTTCTTAATAGTTTGATAGAGTACCATGACCTTCTTACATCCCTTTTGGAATCCATTCTCCATAACAACCTTGGTCTTTCCCGTCTTGTGCCAGCGTACATGTTCTTTCATCAAGTTATTTTCATCATGAATCTTTCTACGCTTCCTTTTACCAGTTGCATATGCATTAGTAATGCGATAAAAGAAGTGAATGCTACTTCCATCCTTTTTTGCACCTGAAGCATAATAAGAGATTGAGAAATAAAAATCTGCCATAACATATTGATGGTTGCCCGGTTTCAACCAAAAAAACAGAAAGATGCTTGTTACAACAACTAACTTTTGCTACATTTTCATTTCTAGGTAAATGCAACCCTGAAAACAACAATAGCCTTTCCTCTATTTATTTCACCAGCACAGTTTATTGACTTGATTAATGCAGTTAAAAGCAAACATAAGCTAGTATATTGAAGAATTGGGTGTGCTACAAACCAGGAAGATTTTCAGGATGGGTATAGCAAATTCCTTCGTGAACATCAAGGGTCGGGATGAACTCATCAATGAATTTGTGTTGCTCTGAATTTCCCACCCCGCACTTTGCTTCTAAATGCTCCACGAGCTCAGCATCAGATGGATCAAATTTAACACCAACAGGTAGACCAGGCCATTCATGAGAAACCTGAATCAGAAAGCAGCAAAATATTGAAGCAGGCTTTGAGCAGCTAATTTATGATACAACTATTTGTTGGCCTAATCTTGAACCAGGGGAAACAAAAGAACTTTCTTTACAAGAGAAATTTTCAACTAGACTAAACAGTTTGACAAAGCTGTTACGAAAACTATAAGAGGTAAGTAAATTATGCATGAACGCTTGTTAGCTTACATCCTTGTTATCAATAGAGTAGTGGCAGTTTGGGCATTGCCGCTTTGCCCCACAATCTTTGATTTGATGTGCAGCAGGGGCACTCGCATTTTTTACTTTACTCGCAAGTCCTCTGCCATTGATAAGCCAAGATCTGGATCAATAAAAAAGAAACAGATTAGACCTATAAATCTTCTTATGGTGACATAAGTGACAAAAGAACAACAATATCATCCAACAGATTCAAAAACTTCCATTGAACCCTAAAGGAAATATACTTGACAATTAACAATACAACAACATACCCAATGTAATTCCACAAGCGAGGTCTAGAATGCTTAACAATTAACGATAAGTTCAGTAAATACTCTTGATAAATTCAATAATTCATCTGGTTTCACTATCAGTTTAGACCTAAGACCAACTTTTCCAAATCTTTCTATGACACTAACATATTGAACAGGTAAATAGACAAATTTCAACATGAGGTTTTGATATGACTCATTGCAAGCAAAATTTGAACCTCGAATCCAGCTAGTGGAAGACAATATTGGGTAGATGATCAAGAACATGAGACCATAAAAAAAAAATGGGGTAATTAGAACAAATGGGGACTTCCAGCAACCAGCCAGTAAAAGCACACATTTCACATTTGCAATTGTAAACACAGAACATGCTTTAAACATTTTCAAGTATTAAACAATCTGTTGGTGAACACAATCTGATGAAGAATAACTCAAACGCCTTTCGCGATGGCCTTTCGTATTCCAAATCGAAGAACAAATCAAAACCCAGATAACCCAAAATCCTTAATAAACTACAGTAGTATTCAGCATTATCCCCAGTAGCAAACACAAATCTTACAACGGAAGCTACCGAAATTTTTTTCCCCAGAATTCTTTAAAGATTCAATTTTTAGACCATGTTTGATCATATCGAATCAAACCCAGAACAATTTTTTTCCTAAAAACACAAACTTTAAATTTTCATTAAAAAAAAAAATCCATCCTCACCTTCCCATTAAGGATCGAAAAAAATTCAAGATTTTTGAAGAAAATTCGGTTAATCTGAGTTTCAACGCATCTATTGAACACATTCGAAGAAGAGAAAAACTCTTGTTTTATGGTGCCAGAATTTCGCCCCCTTTCTCCACTGGACTAAGCAAGCTGGACTGTTGGAGTGTGAATGAGCGGGAAATTTTATCTTAAGAGGTTTGGAATCCGAGTCTTTAGGCTCGGATGAGCATCGCATTCATCGATGTTCCCGAACCATAGGTTTGAGATGGGCCCAGTGTTGACCGAACCTCGGGTCTGCTAGTGACTTAGCTTTGGAAGTGAAATGTCTTTTTAGAAAAATGGGTAATGGTGTTAAAACGGTAAATTTATCTGACCCGACTTCCTTGCTCCCCAAGCTATAAATGGAAATGGTTTTATGTTTAATTTCCACCTTTTACCTTTTTTTAGTAGATTTGTCTTTTTTGAAATGTTTATATTCCATAATATTAACCGGGAAATCATATTTTATTAATACAATTATTCTATGTAAATTTTACATAGTTTTAAGACTTAAGTCATCTACAGCCCCTTAAAGTTGTTCGTATATTTCATTTAGATACCTTAACTAAGGTTATTACCTATTGAACACTTAAAATATTCAAAAAGTGTATCTATTAAGCACAAAGTAGTGATGTGGCAAAAAATGTTTCTTCACTTTTCATCGGCGCTTGAAGATGCCCAAATAACATTTTCCTTTTTATTTTTCCTAAAAAAGTACATTTTTCTTGGTTCATTGACCTTGACATTAATTAATAAAGAAATCAAAAACAATTAACTAACAATAAAATTTAAAAAAAAGGACGTCTTCTTCCTAAGAACAACCTCAACTATTTCCATTCACCATCTCAGTACTTGCCGGTTACCTCCCATGTCACCCCATCCCACCAACTTTCTCTCTCTTTCTCTCACCCTCTCCAACTATTCTTCCATTTTTTTCAGGTTTTAAATATTTTGGCGAAACTCTATTTATTTCGATGAAAGAAAATTGAATAAATTATATTTTTGGCAAAAGTTTGTTATTATATCCTATAATTGTGATAAATGTTTATTAATCGAAAGAAGATGAAGCCAATCGGTAGGAGGTGTTATCGATGCCGATGAACGGGAATGAAAGAGTGGGGCGATGTTTTATTTGCGTGCTGACGCTGGCGGAAAGGGGGGGCGTTAATTAAAAGAGTTAATTTTTATATTCTTAAAATTATTTTTGGATTATTTAAATAGAACTTTTAAAAAACTGAATTTGACCGCCATGTGTCGTTGTTTTATTGGTACACCTGTTATGTATTTGCGTTTGAGCTACACGCAATTTTGTTTTTCAACTGATTGACATTTTGTGTCTAATAGATATAAATATTTTAAGATCAAAGTGTTCAATAGGTATTAGCCCTAGTTAATGTGTCTAAATTAATTATGAAAACAATTTTAAAGGACTACAGATGACTTAAGTCTAGTTTTAACTTATATTACTCCATTATTTAACTTTAAAAAGATTCTATAGTTTTAACTTATACTACCCCATTATTTAACTTTAGAAAGATTCCACACTCCTTTCATTTCAATTTGTGATTTAGCCACACATAATTTAAGAAAATAAAAAGAATAATTAAATCTTACGATCTTAAATTAAAAATATATTCAATGTTTCAAAAATTACTTTTAATCTTATGATCTTGAACGAAAAACTTTATTTTGTGAATCACATAACTAACATTAGTTATATGAGGCTGTCTTTTTTTTTTCACCCAGTGTTCGAAGTCCATATTGGAGCTCCGACTAAATCCAGATCGCGCACTACATGGCCCATTTGGGGGTGACGCTCACAACAAAAAAATTTCCATACCCAGGACTCGAACTCAAAATATCTGGTTAAGGGTGAAGCACTCCCACTAGTGCACCACAACTCATGTTGATATACTATTTAATTTCTTGACAAGTGGATATTTGCTTTCAGATAATAAACTTAATTTGTTTTACCGAAGATTATATATTCACGTACTAAAGTACTTTTCCCTTTCTCTCTTTCTTATTTCCTTAACTAATAATACTATCGAGATAGGATAGGATGTTACATTATATCCTCTCCTATTTTTGTTATTATATATTGTTAATTTATGTTTTTATTGTTGTAGATTATTTATTTTTAAATTGAAGGTATATCAATAAATAATTTATTTATTTCTAAAATAAAAATAAAATTTACATACATTTTACTCTCTTTGAATCTCGTTTCATGGAAACTACCTGGGACGTATTATTGTTGTAGGGTATGATGTTACGTTGGTAGAGCGTAAATTCATTGGTACAAGACAGTTGCAAGGTTGTAATAAATATTCATATATCACCATATTTTTAAAAAGAAAGAAAGAAAAAGTTTCTTGCAGTGGACAGCACTAAATTAATCCCTTTATTTTAATTTATTTGTCATATTTTAATTTCTTACAGGGTCTTAAAAGAAAATGTTTGAATTTTAAAATTTAAAATTAAGATATAATGTATTAAAATATTTCTAGATTTTTTGATGTTATACATGTCATATACTACTCCATAACAAAAGAATTACTCTACAAAATAATGGTAAAAGAAATATTCATTTTTATATAAATAAATAATATAAAAATCTCATTTTATTATTAAATTATTGAGAAACTTCCTGGTTTGGGGTTACAAGAAAATCCAACAGGATGATTCAGTGCAGAGAGCAGAACAATGATTATTTACTTTTGTTCCTGTTGATGTTTGACACGTGTAATCATCGCTGGTCTTATCAACATCTATCTGATGTGGAGGACAATGTTCAAAGCATTTCACTCTAAAACTTCCATATTTTGTTTCTTATGGTAGAGACCCTTTGTATTTAACAGTTAAATTTCATAAGTAGCGCTATTATCGTATATTGTATGCGTGCACATACGAAATTTGGTTATAATCGAGATCGCGTGAATATAATATCTGATTGTAATAATATATCATATGTAAATGGAGTTTTCAAAGTAGAAATTGGATATTGTATGTATATATTTATGTGAAGACATCAATTATATAGGTAGTCAATTGAATATAACTGTGTTTAATTTCGAATGGTACATGCATATAAACTTTTAAATATATCACCCTTTGAAGAAATAACATCGATTTTTTAGTGGCCAACAAAACCATCGATGAACTCCAACAATGACGACGAAACAAGTGAGGCTGCATGTCTATGGGTTTTTTAGGTATACAAATATGTGTATAACTATAATCATAGATTTTGAACTCGCCAAAACCAAATAGTACAATAAAGAACTTATGAAAGGTTTCGAAAAAGCAAGAGGACTTTAGTTTGCTTGATGCAAAAGTTAAAGCAGCACATAGGCAAATGCTCTCCTCTTTACTTTAACATGTTTATTGAAAGTTGAAAACTGATGCACACGCACTGTTTTATATTAATTGGCCATCCATTTTGTCAAATATTATTTCTTATTACTAGTATAATCCTCTTCGTACAATCACTATACTTTTATCAAAAACACCACTATCAGAAGTTTGTATTTTTCACTCATAAAGAATGCTTATAGCATACTAAACCAACAACAACGGGGTAAGCTCATGTAACGAAAGTCAAAATGTAGTTGTCTCGACTTTTGTACCCCGCCACTATTCATATTGAAGCACTACTTATCCTATAGATGTTTTATGTAACCATATCAACAAAGTCGTTGTAGTATAGTGGTAAGTATTCCCGCCTGTCACGCGGGTGACCCGGGTTCGATCCCCGGCAGCGGCGATTTAATTTTTTATTTGTTTGTTTGTGCCATAGGGCCGACAGGCGCGTTACTGACTGTTCAAATAATTGACTCCTATATTTTGTTCTTATTTAGTACTCCAATTTCAATGGTGGACCAAACAAACATTAACTTTCACTCTCTCCCCCAAAACATCCAACACCTAATTATTTCTTTCTTGCCAACCTCTACTGTCCCTTTCCTTCCAAATATTCATCCATCAATCTATCCTTCTCCTTTATCCAAATAAATCGGATTTTCCATCAATTGATCAAATGAGTCATAATTGTATCAACCAAAATCAGTTTAACAAGCCATAACCTAGGGTGTGTTTGGTATGAAGGAATGTTTTCCAATTTTCTCATGTTTGGTTGGGTTAAATGTTTTGGAAAATGTTTTCCAAATCAACTCATTTTCCTCAAATTTAAGGAAAATGACTCCTTTCAAACTTAAGGAAAACATTTTCCAAAACTCTCTTCCAACTTTTAATTAAAAAAAAAAATTGTTGAAAAAATCAATTTATTTGATACCCTCAAATCAGCCCCCCCAACCACCCCAAAAAAAATAAAATAAATTTAAAGTTTGTTTTTAAATTCAATATT